CCCCCGTCGGTCAATCTGTCTGTCTTTCTGTGTATATATATATATATATATATATATATATATATATATATATATATATATATATATATATATATATATATATATATATATATATATATATATATATATATATATATATATATATATATATAAGGTGATATATCACATTCCAAGCATTTGTTTGCACAGGTAATAACTCCATGCACGTAAATATCTAATCATTCAAGCAAAATTACTCTTGCCCTCACTACCTAAAGAAAGGTACTTACGTGTGACTGTTTCTAAGAGTATAATAATCCATGTAACGCTGCACACATACAAAAACATTTTATCCAAAATCATGTCTGAATTCTACACATTGAGTTTCTGCGTATAGGAAGGTCTGCTGGTATCAAAATAGCACAAATGCAACAACTTTTTTGGACAGATTAATTTCGCTGTACCTATAGCCTCATTTGCAAGGAGTTAGCCCGTTGATCTACTCGTCATAATCACACAACGTACTCCACTGGTACCACGAAATAGATCATCTGTAGCTGGAGGCTGCAGTTTCCTTGTAATGTACACCTGATGTGCTGAATGAAGCAATTAACATAGTAATAAGGGGGCGTGGCTTAAATGTATTGCAACAGGAGGGAGGATATAAATATTCATGATCAGGAGAGGTTTAATGGTTTATGGAGTGTGGGTAAATCAAGTTTTGACATTTCTCTGTGAAAGAGGAAAGATTAAAAACAATAGAAGTGAATAGGCTGAAGGAAGGGGGGAGGCGAGAAATGTAATGCCACAGCAGAAACTGGTATCAGAGAGAATAAAAGGAAAACCATTGGTGAAATGTACAAAAATAAACATCTCCAGCTCAGATAAAGACAAATATTCAATAATTATTACGGTAAAGTGCAAACTATATATATATATATATATATATATATATATATATATATATATATATATATATATATATATATATATATATATATATATATATATATATATATATATATATATATATATATATATATATATGCGTATGTGTGTGTGTGTGTCCTTACATATTTGTGTTCTTTTCTACTTTGAAGATTTACATAATTATGGGGCATTTGGCGTTTCGCATAATCGCGAACAGAGTTATGAAACGATATGAAAGTAAATCAATAAGCACCGTGCGTGTTTAATGTGTATTATTACTGGACTAGATCCAACTACATCTCGTAATGCTTACTCTAAAATCCTGTGTGCAATGTCTGAGTCGGATGCATCTTTTAGGTAAGCGCCTTTATCAATATTTAATTTTTTTATAAAAGGAAAATTTATTGAATTATGCAAAATGTAAATTTTTCACTGTCTGAAAACATTTGTCCTGAATAAAAAACAGCACTGCACGAGGTATTTTATCTTTTTAGAAATTATTTCATTTTAATTGCCAACAACCCTTTACCCCAACAACAACATCAAATGGAACAAAAAGGAAAATAAAACCACACACACACGTGCATGTACATTTCATAATCATCCTTCGAAGAAAAGGAACAAACGTGTCCTATTGTTAGTATGTTGTTGTTATTCTAGGGCTTAAGGCCATTTTTCAGCACACGATAGGCTATATATGGCGGCCAGTATTAATGGTGGAGGAAGAAACTAGGAAATCCGCGGATATAACCACCGACCCACGAGAAGCTACTGTCAAGCTTTCTCACATATTTACATTCGCCGAATCTTAGACTGGAACCCACGCAGACAGATGTGAGATGGTAGTGATCCGTAGCGGAGTGCGCTTTAGACCACTCGGCCACTTGGAGCCCCTGTTAATATGTAACGTACCCATCAATTCAATAATATATCAAACCAAGACTGAGGAATGTGCAACGATTGTTGCATTGTCTAGAACATACTAAAATTTTGTTCAGTGTCCATAACCTCGTAGTGTTAGAATGAATTTATTAGACCTATATTTTGCAATAACTATCCGCGATTTGCTGATTCCTCCAAACCAACTGCTTAGACCCAGAGTTGTCTGTGAAATAATAATGCTAAGGTAGACCTGGGTCTGTGCAGCGTGTCGTTGGACTGACTTAAAAAGATAGTATATATGGTACAGCTTATCTCAGATTTCGACAATACGTGCACGGTGACTTAACCTGCAATTTCCTGGCTTGCACGCCTTTAAACGTAATCAGAAAAACCCGTTTCTAAACAGCGCGGGTGTAGCAACTTGAAATAAAAAATGTCAGGTGCAGGAACGTTCGACTTATATGGCACGTTTGACTTTTATACTAATCTGTGTGTGCGCGTGGCTTTAACAATTTTATAGCATGGTTTATTCGCCCAGTCATATTATCCTGATACCAGGACAACAATTCCTAACACTAACTTCTTAAATCTGAGGCGCATAGCGAGGTAGCTGTAAATGACATTTTTTAAAGTCTACGGTATGACTCAGCCGTGGTTCGAACCCACGACATACCGCTTCAAAGGCGGACGCTCTAACACCTAGGCCGCCGCACGGTCCTGTTATATATATATATATATATATATATATATATATATATATATATATATATATATATATATATATACATACACACACACTTTAATTCATACTGAAATGAAATACACAAACACACTCAAACACAATTTTGCAATGAGAAAAGTAACAACAACACGTTAGGCTCTTATAAACTAGGAAGCATAGTGTGCATAGTGTATTCATTACTGTATCAAACTTTCCAACAAAAATCTCAAGTCAATATCATGCATTGATTCATCCTAATATTGAATGATTCTATCTCATCTCACTTCTCCAAGACGCGTCTTCCACATATATGTCTAAAAGTATGTCGGAAAACAAAAAGAAATAAAAATTTTTAAAAAGACAGTATTTTGGAGGTTTCTGTTCATAGTGCCTGTTCTAAAACCGAGAGAAATTAAAACTTCCAAGCTACCCATGACGCTGTAGACAATAATTTGTACAGAGTTCCTGCTGCCTTCATAGATCACTGATATCTCACCTCTGAATAGGTTAGCGTCTCAGGTCGACCAATGGTTATGTGTAAATGTTGGCCAGTAGCTTTCTTGGGTTTGTGGTTATTTATGGGGTTTATTTTCTGGATTCTTACTCCACTAAATGTATTGGCCACCATGTTTAACCTACCATGTGATATATATATGGCGTCGAACCCACAAAAACTAATTTGTTTATGTAGAATTAGACTTGCTCAGTTCATTATGCTTGTCTTCTGAACACCAGATTACACTCAGATTTTGTGCTGGAACAATTGCCATTTATTTGGAACAGATAAAACTGTTCATCGCTGAATAAATAAAACCATTATTTGTTTACATAAAAGAGAAATAAAAGACAAGATAAGACTGTTTTCTTGAATTAGCCCAATTTGAATGTGAGGATATAAAACTCAGTACATCAGCAGCAGTTAGTATAATACACGTGATACTTATTAGAACGATATATTATAGACGAGATTTATTTGCAATATTCTAAAATGTTTTGTTATAACTTTTTTCTTTAAACATTAAAGACATAATACCTATAGATAGACAAAACATTTTATGTATTGAGCTATACTTGCACGCTCAGCAGGCCGCATTACTGCAGATTTGTGCGCGTAACCTAATATAGGTACATGACCGAGAGGTAAGAACTTTGTTACTAAGAAAAGATTTTATAACATCCGGGCGCTCTTACCGTACTCTTCGGCAAATCACAAGGCCAATACGAATTGCGTTTACTTATGTAATTGTCTGTCATATCCTCTAGTTGGTGGTGGTATGGTTTCATAGGTTTAAAAGTGCACGTGAATGCATAGACCATTGCGATTGATGAACGAAAAGTGGCTGCTTTGAGGGGTGTGTGTGATAAAGTTCCAAGATACACTGTAGGAGATATTTCTTTTATCATGGGCGTTTATTGACTGCTGATCAAAAGCATGATCGAGTTGAAATCTCAACAGCTACTCGCCAAATATGAAGACAAAAGAGATGCTGGAATGAGACTGCCAGAGGTAATGCAGAATGGATTCACTTTCTTGAACATGACTCAAGAGATAAAAAGCTGTACTGAAAACAAAAATAAAACGATGGGGGGACACAATAAATCGCTCAACATAACTGGACTGACAATAGAGTTTTACACGCAATATTTTTCAAATGGAAAGGCCTGGTCGTTAAGGGATCACTATCTGACTCGGCTAATGTCAATGGACATTTTTGTGCCTCCAGAGAGTTGCCAAAAGTTGTGAAACACCCCAAACCACCGGTCTACTCACAGGCACCTGAGGCTTCCATTAACTCCATGACAACACTCATGTGCATTAATCCGCCGTCTTGATATACGCCCGAAAGAGCACAGAGTCCAAACTTTGCCACATCCTCCATGGAACTCTAATTTAGTTCAAGTGATTTTTGGTTGAATCAGTCACGTTATCAAAGATTGGCTGGGGCCAGGCGATATGAAAGCCGCCACGCGGATGAAGTGCAGCGTCCAATTTACGAACAACATACCAAAAAGTGAATACAAAATAGCATTTAATAGCTGAATAATCACACAGAGAAAGTATGTAGAGAGGTGGATGAGGAATTATTTGAGAGGATACAATGATGTACTATTCAATAATGAAAAAAATCTTTATTGTACAGAAACATAATATTTAAAACGTTTTCATTATTCCTCGTTCATTAGTTGTTTATTTACGGAGTATTATTTCTCCGTACAAAGAACCTTACATTTATAGACACCAAAGGCGAGTATAATTCTAATATATCCTGAACTTACAAATTCAAAAAAATGTTGGTATTTTCATTAATGTTTAACCAGTTTCAAGAAACGGTCATTGTATAATTGACTCTTTATTTAAACAAAATAAAATCTACATCCATGAGTGAAATGCATATAGAAGAGTGAAATGCATATAGAAAAAAGTCATTCTTCCCTTATCACTTCGGTGGCCTAGTGATTTGAGCGTCCGCCTCAAATGCGGGATGTTGTGGGTTGGATCCGCGGCCGAGTCATACCAAAGACTTGTAAAAATGGTACTAACAGCTGCCTCGCTTGGCGTTCAGTACTAAAAGGTTAGTGTTAGGACTGGTCGGCCTGTTGTCAAGATAATGTGACTGGGTGGGACATCATGCTACATGTCTGCGACATGATGCCCCAGTGCTAAGACATCACTATAAACTGCCACACTGCAGACATCGAAGTGATATGACTGAAAAATGTTAAAGCTACGTTAAAAATCCAAATCACACACACACACACACACACACACACGAAACCTTTCCCTTTACTTGTACATATTTTCCAAACACCATCCTTTGATTCCAATCTAAGCCATACATAATTCTAGCTAAAACACTTTTGAATTTTTAATGTGAACATTACCAAAATTCACTTCACGATGACTTGACATTTTATTTACATGTATAGCATCTTATTTGAATTTCGTAACCTTTCCATCCAACTAAATAAAATTTCCAGTAAAACTTGGTTTGATAGTTCATTAAATTATCAGCATTACCTACCGCATGCTGGGTCCAAACTTCAAATATCATCTTTCTTGCTGTAAAATACGTTCATCAAATTTACCATAAATAGAATCACATCGTGTTCTTTTAACACCTAATAAGTTTGTAAATGTATTCATTCAGTGTTATCATCATCCAAAAATATCCGTACCTCACAACAGTGTCTCAATAGTGGTGATATCATTTTATCAAAAAGATTTATTTAGTGAGTTACAATTAAAGTAGTACATTTATAAATATAACTTTTTATAATAAAATTATCCCCTTACAAGCCCGGAATGGTAATACAACCTGTGCTTCATCAAACATTTCGCAGATGTAAGAATAATGCCAACGTCTTTGATGCTTTTTTAATGCTATTTCTAGTGTCTCGTCATTGCAAGTAAACTCCATGTTTCTTGGCAATATATCACCTTTTGTAAATATTACTTGTTTTATAAAGTGTTGGAACAATAAACATAACACGTAGTTACAATCCTTAAGCTTTATATGTGTGCGATATTAATTAAAGATGCGTAATTTGATTGGTGTCGTTTTAATGATGCGATTTCAATTAATGATGCGCAATTTGATTGGTGTCGCTTTAATGATGCGATATCAATTATTACTGCGCAATTTGATTGGTGTCGTTTTAATGCATAAGTTGCAAACAATATTTGTGTGCATGATAAATGACTCAGTAGCTCTATTTGACAGCGAAACTAATTGACCAAATCAAGATCGCACCGATGGGGCAAATTTATTACAAAGAAAACAAGACACAGATATACGACCTTCAATGATGGCTCATGCGAGATTGTTATCACGTTTATAATTCCCATTTGTGCCATAGAACGCCGGGTTCAACCTAAAAAGAACCAACTTCAGCGACCTTAGTTTGCTGTTAGCAAGGATGAGACTCATTTTGGAATATATAACATATAAGAACAGATCGGTTTTTAACGGATATGATGACAAAATAATACTGCATATACAATCAATTCATAAATACCGCAAAATATTAAATCTTGGCAAGGCGCTACGCGACAATGCTGGTATTGTCTATGGTACTCGGCGACCTTTGAAATCGATGTTTTATCTCCCTCTCCTTCATAACTAATAGTATCATCTACAACACCATCTCTTAGAGAGAGAGAGAGAGAGAGAGAGAGAGAGAGAGAGAGAGAGAGAGAGAGAGAGAGAGAGAGAGAGAGAGAGGAGTTTGTTCGAGATATTAAATGTAATGATTTGTTCGAGGGATTTGTTTGAGACATTCGATGTAGGGAATTGTTAGAGATATTAGATGTAGTGAATTTTACGCGACACTAGATGCAATGTTTTTTTTTTCTAGATAGCATATGTAGCGATTTGTTCGAGATAAGGTATCACGTATGTAGAGATTTGTTCGAGATAAGATATCAACATATATATAATAACTGCATGTTATTGTAGAGTTTTGTAATTAATGTTTTGCAAATAGGTGCTACCATCAGGTGGAAAAAACGTAAATATAACTGTATTGTTGAGACCATTACAGTACACATTTTATAACTAGAGTTATAACTTTAAAAGAGAAATGTACCTGAAACAAACCCTTTACAGCTATTACATCAGCCAGATGTAAATGAAACATGTGATGACAAGACAGAGATGACATTGTAAAATAAATTAAGATGTTGCACTATTGAAACTGTTCAAACCCAGACATGCAAACTTTGAGGAAGAAGGGTTTCTGTTGTCGAATTTTAGTCCACCAATAAGAGCATTTAAGTGTATTTCGTTTAAGGGCTTTCCGTTAAAGCAAATTCGTTCGTTATATGTCATTAGACTCTTGCATTTGCTAAAAAAGCGAGTACTGCAAACATTTATTCAAATATAATAAAACCATGTCACTTCTTCAATGTTAATTTTGATTCACTTTGATAGCGTCAGAAAAAAAAATTGAAGAAAATATTTTGGATAATGTATGTTATTTTCTATCTC